AAAAAAGGGGATGCAAATCCATTAGAAAGATCCTTTTGTAAATTCCCCTTGCATACTGGCATGCAAATCCCTGGCTGGCAGGTTTGCTATGAGACAATTATAGCCGGCATAGGAGTTTCCTCTTAGATCTTTCTTTTTGACTGTCTTGTTTGAAGAATTTAAGATCAAATGCGAGGAATGTAAGATTAGCAAACTCCTATATATTCGTGCACCATTGTGCTAAGCACAACCATCTTCCTTTCAAAATTCTCCCTTCAACCTATTCATTTCCCAAAAATGGCAGAAGCACTTGTTTCCAGAGTTTGCAGCTGCTAAAAGCAGTGATCTATGAGGAGGCACTAGAAGAGTTGAGACTACTCATAGAGTTGGGGAAGAAGTGAGGAAGCAAGATGCAAATCTCAAATCCATCAAACTTTTGCTTGATGATGCTGAGAGAAAGGACATGATAGACGAAGGTGTCAAACTTTTGCTTGATCAGTTCAAAGAAGCATGCCTTAACATGGAGGATGCATTGGATGAGTGGAGAACTGTAATTCTGGAGGTGCAAATAACTGCGGTTAAAAGTGCTTATTTCCTTCCAAGGAAGGTATGTCATCTTCTCCAATGCTTTTATTTTGATCACACCATTAGGCATCATGAAATTGCTCATAACATAAAGGTGATCAATGGAAGGTTGGATGAGATTGTTAAGGAGAAAAATATATATCAGTTGACCTGTAAGAATGTTGAACGACCAAAAATTACTTTTGAATATGGTGCTCTAGGAAGTAGAATTTTTGTGACTAACACAGTTCATCTAGAAAGACTGAACCAAGAGGAGTGTTGGTTTATGCTTAGAGAAATAGCATTTAGTGGGAGGGACAAGAAACTAATGAAGATTTGGAGGAAATTGGTAAGCAACTTGCTGCTAAGTGCAAAGGAGTGCTGCTTGCTGTGAAGATTATTGGAGTCTTTTGAGTTTCAAAAGTAGAAAACAAGAATGAGAAGAAGTGTTGAATGGTGAGATATGGAAATTAGATTTGGAACATAGAGATGTCTTTGTTCCTTTACTGCTGAGCTATTATGATTTGCCTTCACCAGTGAGACGATGCTTTATGTACTTTTCTATCTTTCCCAAAAATCACAAAGTCGCTACTACTGGTCATCTCATTGCGCATTTGGATGGCTCAAGGTTTTTTAGGCAACGATAATTCCCAAATGGAATTGGTAGGCCAAGAGTACTTTGACATCCTAGCATCTCGTTCTTTCCTCGAACATATTGAAATGGATTATGCAGGTATTTTCAGATATAAGATGCATGACATGGTACATGAATTTGCCCCTTTTTTTCTAACGAAGGGTGAGTTTGTAACCAAGGAGATCAATTTTGGTGACAATTTGATGATAGAATCAGAGAAAGCTCGTCATTTGATTGTGGCGGTTGAAAAGGGGAACCGTTTTCCTTTGTCTATTGCTGGCATTGAAAGATTGAGAAGTCTTAATACTCTGGGGGAGTTGCCTTTACCACCGAGGCTTTGCGTAGTTTCTTTAAGCAATCGAGACGTTTAAGGTTATTGGATTTCAGTTGCTCAAAAGGTCCTTGGACTGGAGACATTCTAGAAGCAGTAGGGGAATTGACATATTTGAGGCTCTATGGTTGGGGTGTTAACAGGAAACCGCCTGAAACATTCAGCAGGTTGTATAGTTTGCAACATTTGGACCTTGTGGGGTCTGATAATCTTGAGAGATTATCAGATGGGATAGGAAATTTAATCAACTTGAGGTTTATTCGTACCTCAAGGTGCCATAGGTTAACTTCCTACCCAAAAGGAGTCTGAAAATTAGTTAATCTTAGACAAGTACAAGGGATGATTGTGAGAGCTGACCGCAATGATCCTGAAGAATTTAGCACTGGAGATCTGGCAAACTTGAACAAGCTTCTTCTGCTGTTCATGACAGTGGTGGGGAATGACATCGACAAGCTTGAGACTAGAAAGGTAAAGCTGGAGAAACTACATGAGTTGAGGATGTACGTCGCTGGGCATGTTGAGGAAGACGACATACTTGAAGTCATAAACCAAACTTTGGTTCCAACTTTTATGCGTTCTTATGACTACTGGTTCTATCCAACGCGAGAAAGAAATAATAGGTACTGCCGTTAAATTCATACCTAATCAAATAGCATTTCTTACCAAACTTTATAACTACTAAAGTTTCTTCATTATACTAATCCCAATCTTTGTCTTGCAGCTTTCTTTTCTTCTTTTAACCCGTTTGCAATTTCATTCAGGGTAGCCAAACTCAACTCTTTCAGCTGGAGAACATTAATTGTGTTTTTCATTCATTTCCTAAATAGAAAGTTTGAGAATGTGGAGAAAAGATGAGAGAGTCGGCTTCCATGTTTGTGTGTGTTTTTTTGGACTAGGCACCATGTAAAACATTATATGTTGATGTAAGGGTGTGTTTTAGGTAGTTAAAAAGTTAAAATTAAAAATCATAAATCATAAATTTAAAAATCATAAATTTAAATATTGAGTCAGGTTAAAAAAGTTAAAAACAATTATTTTAATTTAATTTGTAACATATAATATATCGAAAAAATTGTTACGTGTTTTTTATTAATATTGTTTACATTGAATAAAAAAAATGTTGTTTATCTATTACAATGGTTTTTTTACTTCATTTTAACCGCATGGAGACTGAAGGTTAAAAAAATAGGTCTTGGAGTTAAAGATAAGGCAAATCGTGGGGTTTAAGTGTTAAGAAGTAAACTACAGGACATCATGTTGAAAACAGGACAAATCATAGGGGAGTGAATTTAGATTTCCTCTTATTATTATTATTATTATTATTATTTTTATAGAAAATATGTATTCATGATTTAATTAAGAATTTTTTTGGCCGGACACCGGCGAACGGCCAGTCTCTCAGATATTCCGAATCATGAATCAAATTCGGATTTCTATTTTTGTTTGCTTCTTATGGATGGCGTTATTTCCACGCTATTTCAATTAGGATATATGTTAATTTGCAGCCAAAACATGCATTGAAATAGTTTCATTAGTGTTTTCTAGCGTAGCATGGTTGATAAAAAAAAAATTGATTCATTTTGTGAGAAGTTGTCCTTTTCTTCTCTTCAGTTTATGCTATAACCTATATTAAATTTGTCTTCAAATGTTGCATTTTTGCCTTCAATTTAAACATGTTGTTTAGTCCAGTAACTTGGAAGTGGTTTCTCTTGTGAGAGTTTGTCAATTTAGAAATATATATTCTAGGTACGAATAGCTTCTTCACAACGTTGATTTCAATTGTGTCCTGCTTTAAGAGCATTGTCTAAATTATATAATCCTTTGGATGGCTCTATTTTCACACAAGCTTGATTGGGGATATGAAACTTGCTTTGAAATAGCCAAATACATTATACCCATAATGTCTTCTAGCATGACCAATAAAGAAAAATATGATTCATTTTCAGAATTGTTGTCCTTCGATTCTGAATTCTAATTGGATTATGTTCCTATGTTTTCATTTTTCATTTTAAACTGTTTAAATAATGTCTATCTAAATTTGTCTTTGAATTTAAAATTTTTAAAGAAATTTCCCTTTCTTTGCTGCATGTAAATTGCTGGCTGGCCTGCTGGTTTAAGAAAAAGATTAGTGATTTTAACTTTCAAGAGAACCTCCATAAAAACTTGAACAAGTCCTTTAAGTTTGACAGATCTCCAATGCTGTAGTGAACCCAAAATTGCTTTGGAGATCTGTCAAACTTAAAGGACTTGTTCAAGTTTTTATGGAGGTGCATGGTGGGCAACGCAATCAATATGGATGAAGCTAAAAAGGTGAAGCTTGAGAATGTGCATAGCTTAAGGATGTACGTGGCTGGAGACATTGAGGAAGATGCCATACTGGAAGCCTTAAACCGATCCAGCTACGACCCAATCTATATGCCATCTTATGACTACTGGTTCTATGCAACGCACCAAAGAAAGTGTAGGTACTGTCTTAACCTCAGTACTTGTTCTCGCCATAATCAAGTAAATTTCATCTTCATAGTTCATACAATGTTCATAATCAAGCACTGTTTGCAGCCTTTTTGTTTCCTTTTTAACCAAAATTTAAATTTCTGTCTAAAGGGGGAGCCAAACTCAACTCTTTAAGCTGGGAACCTCATGCATGGATGAAGCTATCTAGGCGTCTTGCAATTTCCTTAATGGTCAATAGAGTAGAAGAGTTTGAAGAAGGTTGCCAAGAGAAAAGATATGGAGTTCTGTAAAATACATAGTGCGTTTTTTATTTAATGCATTTATTTATTTTTTATTTAATGTCGTTTATCTATAATGATGATGTTTTTTTTTTTTAAACACAAAAAAATTTCAAAGCTCACATTTCCATTAAAATGAGATTGTCCTTATAAAGGTATAAGTAATCACTTACACTACAAGAACTTCTCATCCATATTAAGTATGTTAAACTTCTATCTTCAGCAAATGATTATGTTATAATTTATTTGTATATTTTTTTTATATAATCTTCTATAAAACTTATAATATTATATATATATATATGTATATGAAAAATTATATTACAGTCCATCTTATGATAGATTGTAACATCAGAACCATCAAAAGAGAAAGATCCCTTAATATTAGGTCCTTCTATCATTTTTTTAATAGTTTTGATATTACAATTTGTTACAAGATGGATTGTAACACAACATACTCATATATATATATATAAATTTATAAAAATTATTATATTTAAAAAATTATTTCTATATTTTTATTTTTTATTTTTTTATAATTTTAATAAATATCAATTAAAATACATTAAATATATCATTATATAATTAATTAAGTACAACCCTTCCTTCCCATCCAAAAAAAAAAAAAGAAAAGTGCAGTACATCCTCATTGTCTTCCCCCCTCTCCCTTTATTTCTCCCGAACACAATAGAGGGGTAATGGATAACATGTTGAGGATACGTAAAACAAAACGAGAACGATAGGACAGTTCAACCATTATGACAAGATAAGTGGGACACAATAGAGGATTCACTCTTACGGCATTATTATTTTATTTCTCACATTCAAACATCTCCTATACTGTTAATCAGAATTATTAATCAGAATTTCAATTTTTGCCAATCGTTATGAAAAAAATCTCTTTCAGAGTTGGGTTTTTGAGTTTAGAACGTCAGGTTAGTTTAAGTGTATCTTTTTTTCTTTTTTTTTTTTGAGATAATAATTTAAATTTGGTTCTTTGTAAAATTATTAAAAAAAAAAAATCTCTCTCTTCGAATTGTAAATGGTAAAGAAAAACAAAATCACCTAGACTTTTCCGAGGGTCAAACCGTCCCACCACGTGGACCAATGGTGTCACTGTCCAACTTTGGTTGATCATAAAATAAAAGAAAAGACAATGCTACTGAGATATTTTTTTTTATGATTTTTTATACAAAATTTACATAATATTAAATATATAATATTATAAAAATATATAAAAAATTATACAATAAAATTATATGTAATTATTTTTTCTAGAAGATACTAAATTGTGGGACCCAAAATCACGTTAATGATGCATGTGAAAGTTCGACAAAAATGTCCTTCAATTATTGATTTGTTTCAATCTAGTTGTATTTGATATAAAATTTAAATAAAATTCGAGAGAATAGGCTATTCAGTCACCTGAAAGGCCACTTTGGTTTTCACCGTAGATCCACATGATTAAGAATTTGTGATCAGTACGCGTGCATTGGTTCAAGTTGAGTATTATTAAAAAAGTGATGATGAGCAACAAAAACACGGATGGAAAATATTAAGAAAATAAGAAAATTAATTTTTTGTTACATAAATTATCATATAAAAAAAGTGTCATGAATTTTATTTACAAATATTTTATTGTTTAACATTAATAAATATTGTTTATAATAAAAAAATTCATATATTTCATATAGTATGGTTTAAATATTAAAATTATTAATGTATGAATCTTACAATCTAATGATTATAAATCGAATTATAAAATATATCCACCTAATCTAAGATTAGAATTTAAATCTTCTCACCCCAAATGTAATCTCATTAAAAAAAATTAAAAATATTAAGATATTATTAATAAAATAATATAAAAACAAGGTCCATAAAAATATTATAATAAAATTTATAGATTATACTACATTTTTAATGTATATAATTGGACGTGAAAAATATTTTTTTTTATCATAAATACTAGTTACAAATTAAATTTTCTTTTTTGTTCAATTAGAAAATAAAAGCACTAAATTTTCTTTGGCATTAACATACATAATACTAATGGCATCGGTAAAATTGGATGTTGGTTCCTTCATTCATTGCGTAAAGTCCAAATCATGTTGTGTCACCTGGATTTGTACCCTATTTGGTTAAAATATGTTGCCTTTCACATCATATAATTTATGTCTAAAACGATAATCATAATTCAACATTTTTCTTTTAGACTTGTGATGACTCATCAATTGTTGCATTTACATCATGATTCATGTTTGTTTTTTCTTTTTTTTTTAAAAAAAAAAAACCTTTTCTCGATACTCAAATTATATGACACTATCTTCGATTTCAAAATCACACACCTCAAGCAATTTTTTTTTCAATAA